GTTTCTGACTGACTGACTGAAACAGATATGCATAAAACTGTCACAGGGAGTAGCCAGACAGGATTTCCTTTGTATGAAGTTTTTTTTTAAAAAAAAATACGCAAGTTTTTCTGCATTGATTGAGTCATTGTGTAATGTGTATGTTATCATTTCTGAGCAACATCCAACCAGCGTCAAAATACCAGTAGATCATTTATTGAAATTATTTACCTGCTTAAGGATCATCACTTTTCCTGATGTGATGCAACAAAGCTTATTTTAAACCAGCTGTGCAGCAGTTTTTAATAGATGGAAAGAGACTGAAAGGTAACTTTGATGTGTAGGCTCTAGACACTCATTTGAAAATTATACTGACATCCTTTGTAAAGTGCTTTCAAATCTACTGATGAAGGTGAGATATTGTTATAACCATTTGTGTCTGCACATGGAGGAAGGTGTGAGGGTGGAGGAGCCAGCTCCACTTCCTTTGTCACACTGATACCAGCAGAAACTTCTCCAGCATGAGGGGAATTCTCTGCCTGATGGCTATGACCAGAATCCTTCCACTTGGTGCCACCTGAGCAGTGCAAAGTAAACGTAGTGGACCGGAAATTCCAAATCAAAGATCAAAGCTTTGGTATATTGGTTCTGAACATAATTGCTTGAATGAGTATCTTCTTATACATAACAGCAATAATATGCATGCTGAAAATGAATCCAGGTCAGTCCTTGGGGTCCACAAAGCTTGCAACCCAGGCTCCCCTGGATTGAGAGAGAGCGCATGTGTGTCTGTGTGCATGCAGAACATGACCTTGATTCCACAAACAGGTGCACTTGCACTGACCCTTTCACATATATTGAGTCCCGCTGGCGTCAACAGCACTTAGCATAGGTGTAAAGATCTGTACCACCTATCCATTTGCAGACTGGGAGCCTGCATTAGTAAACTGGGTCCTAGCTCTGTGGAGTGCCGCACCTTTTCTTTGAGACCTGCAATTGAAACAAATTCCAGAACTGTGACCCACCCCCACCCCCCCGGTCTAAACTGCATTTTTCCAAGGAGGAGGAGGAGTACCATTTCCAGATTATGAACGCAACAGTGATATTAAACAAAAATACAAGTTACACCAAAAACTTCAATATTCAAAGAGAGACTTCACAAAATAGCATTTTTACCTTATATTTATTTAGCTGCACATGCTCCTATTCTGGACATACATTCAACACAGATTTTTAGCTGCAGAAAGAACTTTTCACCATTTCTTGATTGTTAGGGCTCATTTTTTATGTTTTAGTTACAAACATGTTGAAATTACAATTGTATTATTTTAAACTGTATACACAAATTAGTTGCCACTCTGAAGCCTAAAAATGTCACTGTTCAAGGCTAATTAAGAATGATTTTACTATTATATAATTACATCTAAAGAATTTTTTAGGAAAACGGGCATAGATATAGTTGTGCTATTCACATTAACATTAATGGACGTCATGCGGCTCAATCTGTGACACACTGTGCCAAAAATACCCCCTAATCCACAAACATGACCTTTTCATTGTAAAATACAAGGTTTCAAAACCAGTTGAAAAATTAACCCTTCAGACCCCATCTCCATTAAAATTACAAACATCTTAGCAATTTGCTTTTCATAAAATAAACATATGGGTACTCCACCAGATGGGACCTCTTTTTAATGAGTAACATACACAAACCTCTTCAGAGGTTGGCAACAATGTCAAATTCAAGGCTTTTGCTTTCTCCATATTACTGAAAGTGTCATCATTGTCTCCAGTGACCAATTCCTAGACAAATCCAAAGGTCTCTTCACTCTATTTGTTCTCCTTGACCTCTTACCTACCTTAACATCATGGATTGCCCTCTTTACAAAGACACTCCCCCCTCCTTGGGCTTCCAGCACAGTGTGCTATCGTTCTACTTTGGGACTACTCTTTCCGCATCTCCTCTAGCTAGGTCTCATCTTCCCATCTCCCCATATCTGTAGGTAGCCCACAGGGTTCTCACTTCAGTCTCCTCCTTCAAATGCTAATTACTGAGGTGACATATCCACAGTTAAAACACAGATACAATACTTATGCCACCAAGTCCCAACTCCACCTCTCCCCATCTGTCACCAGTGACATCTTTCTGGATGTCCCGCCATTATCTTAACTCACTATGACAAAAGCCAAATTTCTTAGCTTCCATCCAAAACCCTCTTCCTTATTGCACTACTTACTTTATCACTGTTATTAAAACCACTACTCTCCCTGCCATACAATCTTGCAATCTTAATGTTCTGTTCTTCTCCCTGCTGTCTTTCAGCCCATTTCCAGAATCATGCTCTTGCCAAGTCCTGTCACTTCTTCCACTATATTTAAATATCTGACCCTTCCTCTCTGTACATTTTATGACAAACCCAGTCCACATTATGATCATCTCTTACCTCATGATCTGCAACTGCCTTCAGTCCTCCTACTTCACTAGTCTATCCAAAACACTGCAAGCTAAAACACCATCTGCCATTCCAACCACTTTGTCCCTGCTCTCAACTAACTTCGCTGGGCCTTCCACCTTTCAATCAAACATATGCTCTTTATTCTCAAATCCCAAGTCCTGCTCTAGCTCTGCTTGAGCCTACTTCTCAGCACTCATTTCCACCTCTACCCCAGACAGAAGCCGGAATACCAATCAATCCTCTCTCCCTAATGTTCCCTTTGTCTCTTCCACTTGACCTTTCTATTATCATGCTGCCCCCTCCACTTTGAGCAGCTTCCCTCTTCCCTGAAGCAAGCACCCTCACTCTCCCTCAAATTCCTCCTCAGTGCTTACTTCTTTCACTTATACTTCAAAGGCTGCTCTCTTCTCCAAAGCCCTCAGTTCCTGATCCTCTGTCATTTGTGTGGTATCTGCCTAAATTAGATTAGGAGCTCCTCAGTGAAAGAGCCTAATCTTCCAATGCAACTGTAAAGTGGTATATACAACTAAAACACTGTATAAACAACAGTAACTTTTCTACATCTTCAACATATTTGGGACTGTCCGGAAAAAAAAACACCCAAAAATACTGGCCACATAAAACTTGAGCAAGTGTAATACTTAACTTGAAAAAATGTATGAAGTGTTTATTAAATACTGATCTGTTAGAACAAACAGTGATTTGCTAGTAGAGTCCTCCTGAGGCCAAAGGGGGCCGGGGGGAGGCCGTGTCAAGCTCTTTGTTTGTTCAAGGCCAGGGTACATCACCACATCAATAGGCTTCACCCATGACTCCGGGAGCGGACCACCTCTTTGATTGAGACCACAGTTCAAGCTCCATTCAACCCCATTCTCTGTCAAGACTGCTGACAAGGAGACCAATTAGTGCTACGTTTGTCATGTGGACTCTCATTCAAATAGATTGAGATCACTAACTCATTTCATGTAGGCCACTGAACAACCTGAAGATGGTAGCCACCTCCAGTCACAACCAACTTGTCTCACATTGAAGGTGGCAAAAAGTGGGTCTGGTGACTTTTGGTAAGAAAAAGGAAATGTTAGACAAAACGCCATTTGAAGAGTATCTACTACACGTATGCAATATCAAGCTACCATTCAGCTCCGCTGATCTAAATGAACATTCTATAGAAGACACAATGTTAGCAACACTAACATTCCTAGAACCAAAGTAAATGCACCAGTGCTAGACCAAGAATGGAAAAAAAATGCCTAAAATTTTCAGTGTAGATGCAGTCAAGTGGTTAGCACACTAACATCATTCCACTGCCCGTCTAGTCAAAATTTTCAAGAGTGATTAGTGATATTGGGTGCCCAACCTGAGATGCCTTAAATGTGTGTGATCATCAGATAGTAGGAGCTCAGTCCCCTTCAGACAATCAGTTTGGGCACCCAAAATCACTGGTTACTTTTGAAAACCATAGTCTGTGGCTAGACGCTAAAGATTACTATCACAGAAAGAGATTACAGGGTGAAAAATATGTAAAATCTATTTTCCAAGAGAAAAGGAGTACTTGTGGCACCTTAGAGACTAACCAATTTATCTGAGCATGAGCTTTCATGAGCTACAGCTCACTTCATTGGATTCACAAAAGCTTATGCTCAAATAAATTGGTCAGTCTCTAAGGTGCCACAAGTACTCCTTTTCTTTTTGCGAATACAGACTAACACGGCTGTTACTCTGAAACTTTTCCAAGAGAGTTTACTTTGTGCATTTGATATCACTCTACGCAGCTAGTCAGTTTCCTCTCTAGTTGCCTGGCCCTTTCAGACAGCACAGAAAAATGTTTTAAAAGATTAGAAAATATGATTGTAAAACCACAAAAGTTAATGGGGGACTCAGAGGTGGCTATAATACCCCCAAACTACTTTTGACTTTTTATTTTTAAATTAATTAGATTTGGAATCCCTCTATCCCCGGCCTGGACATCCATCTCTAATGCGGTATTTAAAGTCTTCACCTTAACATTGTCACTTCTTCATATGTTGTTCTATTACACTTTTACAGAGGACATGCAGCAATGTTGCCCTGTCCATCTACCTGTTATCTTGAGTGTTTCACGCTGTCCATTGAACTAAAAAAGCAGCCACAGTCACCCAAATGGGCTTGGACTGAAAGCCAGGATAGTAGATTATGAAGCTAAAAGGTGCCAGGGCGAAGAAGAGCCCCAGTTTGGGCTCAGGGAATGGTTAGATCAGTGCAATCTACATTGAACACCGCGAGAAGTACGCAGCACCTGGGGCTTTGGAGCCAGGGGATAAGGCCCCTCCACTTTCCGCAGCTGTGGAAATCAGTGCGATGGGCGCGAGGTCCCGGGCCGCCACATTCGCCCTCCCTTCACGCCCCGTATCCGCGGGGCTCTGGGCCACTTTGCACCGCGCTCGCCTACGAACTGCATGAAGCAGCAGAAGCAGCTGGGGGGGCCGAGGAGGATTAAAGCGCCTCGGCAAGCCGGGGACGGGATGGCATTAGCCCCTCCCTCCGCGCGAGGTCCCTGCGGGCGGGCCGGGGGCGCGCGCGGCTTACCGGGCGAGCGGAGCCGGGCCAGCCGGCGGGCCCCGGCGCGCTGCGGGCCCCCGCCCGGTGCTGCTTGCCGTTGGGGTCCTCCTCGGCCATGGAGCGGTGCTCGATCTCCAGCTCGCCGCCATGCTCCCCGCTCCGCCGGAGAGCGGGGCTCCGGGCAGGCGGCGGCGGCGGCGGCGCCGCGGAGCAAAGCGAGAGGCGAGCGCACCTGAGAAGGCGGCAGCCCGGGCGGGGAGCGCCCAGCCCGGCGCAGGGGGAGCCGCCCTCCCCGCAGCGGCCACGCGCCCACACCGGGCGAGGGGCGTCAGCCCGGGGGAGATTCCCGCAGCTCCCCCGGGGTCCGGCCCCGCACACAGGGGAGCCCCGCCGGCTGCACGCGGCGCCAGCCCTGGGCGAACTCGCCGCAGCCCCCGCTCCATGAGCAGCGCCCGCTCCGTGTCCCCCGCCCGGGGCGGCGGCGGCAGCTCCCTCCCCTGGGGGTTGGGCGGGGCGAGCCCGAGGGGAGCAGCGCGGGAGCCCCCACTGAACCAGTAGGCCAGGTCCCCCCGGCGGAGACGCGGGGGGGAGCTGCAGCTGGGCACGCGGGCAGGAGACGCGGGGCAGGGGCTGCTCCCGCTCCAGGGCGTCTCCACCCCGGCCCGCGCCCTTTCGGCTCCCGCATCCCCGCCTGGAGCGGGGGCGGCCGCTGGGGGGGCCTTCAAGGCACGCGTCGCCCCCCTCCGGCTCCCCCGGGGTTACAGCTGCCTGGGGAGGAGACCGGCGCCCACCTGCCCCACGTGGGGGCGCCCACGGCTACCGGGCGGCTGGGGTGTCCCCCTTCCCTAGTTGGGGATGGTCCCCCGCCTGCCCCTCACCTGCAGTCCGGCTGGTGGCCCCGGCGTACCCCCGCTGACGGGGCCGCCCGCCGACACCGGCTGCGCCCCTTCCCGGCCGAGCCGTCCTCCCGCTACTGCGAGCCCGGCTGCCGCTTGGGACGCGGCGGGGCTGCCCCTCCCCTGGTCCCGCGGCTCGCCCCACGCCTCCCTGAGCCTGCCGGCCCCGGCCCGGTTACCCGAACCGCCCCGCGCTGCCGGGGTAACAACCCGAGTCTCCGCGTGCCCAATCCCGCCTGGCTCAGGACTGGAGCGCAGGGTTGGGTTAGGAAACGCTCTGACTAGAGCTCCCGCGACGTGGTGGGGGGACCAGGTTGTGGGCAATGGCCTGGCTAGGGGAAGAGATGAGATAGACTCATAGACTATCAGAGTTGGAAGGGACCTCAGGAGATCATCTTGTCCAAGCCCCTGCTCAAAGCAGGCACAATCCCCAATATTTTTTTTTGATCCCTAAATGGACCCCTCAAGGATTGAACTCACAATCCTGGGTTTAGCAGGCCAATGCTCAAACCACTGGTAGAGGGGGGCCTGCAGGGACCCCTGGATTTGGGTTACCTAGCATGGTCCAGTGTAAGATTCTTGGGACCATATTCTGTGTAGCTCTGTCACCCCTGTGTTTGCAGCAGGCTTTTGAAATATGGCAGTGGTATGGCCTGGGGATTGCGGGGGGAGTACCTTTTGTTGATCACCCGTATATCTGTTCAGATTTGGGAGTGATTGTACACTATTGAAACAACTCTTTCTTGGTCTTGTTGTTAGGAACCACAGGGCTCCTCCTTGTGTCATAGGCATCCTCCAGGTACTGATTTAATTCAGGAGATCACACAGTTGCATTTTTCTATGCCAAACGCTGGACACTCATACTTTTCTCTCATTCACATAATTCTTTGCTATGATTACTGGGGACTTGTATAAATAGACCAAAACCAGTGATCATTACTTAATACTTATCATGGACATAGTGCTTTCAACTCCTAACTACTGTATAAACATGAACTAATGAATTTTAGCACTTCAACAATCTCCAGAGCCACCTGGCCTTCACCATTTCCCATACTTTCAGAAAAGCTGCAGGCTCAAGATGTTTAATGTAACAAACCTTAAAATTCTCCTCTCATGGCCACTCTTCCTTCTGCAACCAACACCTTTCCCTAGTCCACCTGTGACGTGCCATGCCATCAGTCGGACAATGGATGGGATATTTACTTAATTTTTGAAGCAATTAGCCAAAGATAAGGTCCACATTAGAATAATGGTAACTCACCTGGACCTCAGTAGTCATCTCAGATCAGCAGCAACTGAACGATAATACAGACAAATTGGTCTGAATTTGACCTTTTGACTAAAATCAAGTGTAGTACTATCTAGTATCAAGGGATTACATTTTATAATGTATTGTATTCTGTAGGATATTTCCATACAGAAAATCAACGGAGAGTGACCTTTTAAACCAAGTCGTTCCTTGCTCTCTTACTATACCTTTATATATTAGCTACTCCTTTTATTACTTTGCCCTTGCACCGTAGGGTTTCATCCTCCTTTTCTCTGCATAGTATGTCACAGATTGCAGTACTCCTTAGCCAAGATTTAAAACATTTTAACTACATCTCTGTTTCTGTGCTTCTAAATTAAGCTCACATACATTACGTTCTTTTATTCCTCCTACGAGTGGATAGCAATACATCACAGGTGATCAAATATTTTCAGATTCATTGAGATCTCACCGAGTTCTCTGAAAAAATAGCACTCAATCCTAAAGTCAAGGAATTGTACGAGATTTAGTGATTTGATGCCCACAGGAATCAATGGCCGTTTTGGGGTTTAAATCGTGTGCAATTCAGGGGCCCAATTATCCTGGCAAGTTCGTATGCACTACTTCCATTGCCTTCAGTGGGAATTGCACACATGCAACTAACAGAATAATCAGGCCCCTGAAAATTTAAGCTGGTGTCCCTAAACACATCTACTGTATTTTTAACTCATTCAGTGTTAGATGCATATGTGGCATCAGAGCAACAGCTAGAACCAGGCACTGGCAACTCAGAACGGATTTTCTCCTAGTGAATGCTCTCTGTTTCAAATGGGATATACACCAATCTATAACCTGCATTGTCTGCATTTAAGACATAAACTTAGACATAATATAAGGTAAGTATTTCTGTTACCATGACATCAAGCAAGAAAATAAACATTACTCTCCATAGAAAATGAAATGCATGGTAACAGAACATTTTAGCAAGTCTAATGACAGAACTCAGCGCCATCATAACAGATTATAGGAGACAAATAAAAAGATTGCTTTTGATAATCTGAAATGAAAAAAAACTTAAATATTTTGCATACAGAAGGGGAGAGAGAGAGAGAAACCATTTTTAGATAATCTGTCTTTGTTCCAAGCAAATGACAGAAATGGACTAATTTAATTTTTTACTGTAATCTCCTTTTTCTCAGAAGCTGCTTTTTGTGCCTGAATTCACAAACTATGGAATGGGGCTGGAAAAGAAACTCTCTCTATATTTCCTACAAATCAAGTTATTTCTTGAAACACAGGAACAAAGAATCCAGATTACAGAAAGAGTTATTGTTTATTATCAGTAAAATATGTATTGTTGTGGTTCTCAGGAAAGAGAATGTTAGTTCAATTATTTCATACCTAATATTCATAGACATTTTAAACCCCAAGCCTTAAAGTTGGATTTACTCAGCCACCCACAGAGGTATGTAACAAAATATGTAACAATAAAATAACTAGAGCCCTGTGCAGATACAAAATTTGTATCCGCATCTGCAAACATGGTCCATGGATATAAAGCGGTTAGCTGCAGCTTTCCAGGGCTCTAGATATAAAATTTGGATCTGCATCCATCTGTGATCTGCAAACATGGTCTGTGGATATCCGCATCCATGGATACAAAGTGGATATCTACAGATTTGCAGGGCTTTAAAAATAACTTTACCTAAAAGCTAAAGGTTGCTTGACTACATTTGTGATTAAAATTACATAAATACATATGATTCAACGTAAAAAAAAAAAAGCTATAAAGCAATATTCAAAGTGAACTCACATAATGACAGAAATCAGACATTTCAAAGGTATACCCTAAAGCAGGCTAAGCATTCCAGAATCAATCTATCAAAGTCTCTTATGTTAGAGTAGATGAGATAAAGTCATTGATTTGCAGCTAAAGAGATTCTAATTCTAGTCCTAGCTCCTGTACTTGTTTGTAACAGATGTTAAATAACTTCTAGTGATAATTCAGTGGAAGTCCTGCTATTAGATGGATATAGGGGATAAATTAAATATCTTAGGCCCTGATTCAGGAAAGCACTAAAGAATATAAGTACATCTCTATTCAGGATAGCAATTAGGCCCCAGATCAGCAAGGTGTTTAAGCATGTGCCTACCCTTAAACACATGACCTTGCTAAATCTGGGCCTTCACTTTAGGCATGTGCTTAAGTCCCATTGTCTGTAATTAAGCATATACTTAAGTGCTCTCCTGAATAGGGATGCTTTCCTGAATTGAGGACTCCCTTCCAGACCTGAACAGTTCTATGATTTTCCACACCCTGCTCATTTGTAACATTACATTAAGCAGGGCTTTCCAAGCTTCTTTGGTCTCATTCTGTAAAAGCCTCCCTTGGGCAGACAAGAGTCAGAGACGTTATTTTTAATGAGTCCCTCCACCTCCACCCAAATTCTGCCCAGTTCAACAAAGTAAAATAGAGTCAACACCACACAAGCTGATTTGAATTATTTATTTTTTAGCGGTATCTGTCTTAGAGCTGAATTAGTGAAACACATCTTTAACTGAGCCAGGAGTCTGGATTGTCATGTTGATGTTCTCATTGGGGAATGATGCTGTAAACACCCATACTTGATTCACATGCATGGTCTCTTGGTTGCCTAGAGTAATGCCCATCTGTTTGGATGGCATCATGCCCACACAAGTTGCCCCAGAGAATACGTGCGGGGCAATGATTGGTTTAGGTAAGTGTTTCTCAAACTGGGTCGGTGTCAACCTCTTTTGGGAAGCCTCAAGAGAAATGAAACAAAAAGAAATTTTATTTTTTTATTTTCAATGGATTGTTTTCATTTAACATTCAGCAAAAACATCACCACGTATTGAATATTAAATATTTAATATTCAGTAGATGGTTGTGTTAATTCTTAGGTAAATATGGCCCAACAGGAAGAAAAAATGAATAAGCACCCCTTTCCCTTTTTATAAACACCTGCACCATCTTCTTTTTCCAGGGGAAGGTTTTCTCTGTTCCTTTTGCAAAAGCCTTTACATCAGGGAAGGCTGAATATTTTGCCATATTAGGGATAGCATGCTGTGCAATGTTTGAGAATCCCACTTTACATTATCATTCTGCATAGCACTGCAAGCACCATCCCATCTATAGAAAAGAAACCAGTCTCAGAAATGAAGCCATGTCACCAGCTGACAATTAAACCAATCGCTTTTGTTGATACCTAGTAGTATGTGCCCAAAAAATGATAGAGTATAGTGGCAGGTGACTTTTGTGTCTCCAAATTATGATTCAGACCCAAACAAGTACCACTTCACAAACATAGCCCCACAAAAAAGAAATCACACACACACACACACTCATACCCTTTATGTGTGTGGTGTCATGAAAGACTTAAAGCCCTTTTAATTTTATAATAATTGCCAGTTCCCAGAAGCAAAAGAACTTTCATATAATGACATGGACTGTACAGTGACGTTGTTGTCTGTCACAGTGCTCTATAATTCAACGGGGCAAGAGGGAGGAAAGTGTGTCAGCCCCCTTTTTAAATACATTGCATTAAGAGAAGCTATTACTTAAAAAGAAAATGATCATGATCTTTTTCATTTGAGAGACAATATCCTTTTCATTGCTGCATCCATGATCTTTGATTCTACTGTGTTGACACAGTGTCAAGATGCTCCCTCTCTGCTCTAGGTCTCAGATCACAGTTGGAGTGTCTTGATACAGTGTTGAATCAGGAGTGGCAGCAAGTATCAGAGCAGAGTCAAAGAGCCTCAATGCAGCACTGGAGCAGGTAACATCAGTGAGCCCTTTCCCCTCAACTAAAGCAGGGAGTGGGGGAAAAGGAGAGGTGGTGGTGGTTCTTTTTTTTTTTTTAACTGTTTATTTTGTTGCTCTTTGACCCAGTAGTGCAGGGTTCATACATGTAACCACATGCCCTTTGCAATAAGATGCCAGAAATATTATTAAAAAGAGTGGAATAATAATTATTCTCTTAAAAGGATTAAATGTAGAATAGGAACAGGAATCAAGGCACCAAGCTTCTAAATACCAGCCAGCATTGCCGGAATGCTGCATTAGCAGGACCAGATTGTGCCTTGGGGCACTGGCCCTCACTTGGGGATTGGGAATAGCTGCACCACCTCAGGGGGAGCTGCAGGGGAGATTGTGCCTCAGGAAGTCCCTCCTGGGGCTCCCCAGTGCAAAGGGGGACTGACCTCATCCCTTCCTGTTAGAAGCCCAAATTTCAATCCCCCACAAACCTGACTGAGAATGTGAGTGCACAAGGGCAGTTTCATACTAATGACTGTGAGATTCTATACTCATTTCTGGATGAAGGACAAGAAATCTGTGATTGTTCTAAAATGGTGACGCTGCTGAACGGCAGCTCACCCTCTGCCAACAGCATCACAAAACTTGGCATGTGGAATATTAAGCACCAACAACGACATGGGGTTTGATTCACCCTCAGAGGAGGCGCAGCAGCTACTGCCCCTCTTCAGCCCCTACACCGGACCAGTTAGTCTCATGTCCTTTTTTCAGAGTAGCAGCCGTGTTAGTCTGTTTTCGCAAAAAAAAAAGTAGGACTTGTGGCACCTTAGAGACTAACCAATTTATTTGAGCATAAGCTTTTGTGAGCTACAGCTCACTTCATCGGATGCAAATCTCAATCAAATGCAAATCAAATGCAAATGCAAATCAATCAAAGAGATTGAAATGTTCTCTAATCACATCAGCCACACTATCAGAGGCTCGTTCACCTGCACATCTACCAATATGATATATGCCAGCAATGCCCCTCTGCCATGTACATTGGCCAAACTGGACAGTCTCTGCGTAAAAGAATAAATAGACACAAATCAGACGTCAAGAATTATAACATTCAAAAACCAGTGGGAGAACTCTTCAATCTCTTTGGTCACTCGATTACAGACCTAAAAGTTGCAATTCTTCAACAAAAAACTTCAAAAACAGACTCCAATGAGAGACTGCTGAATTGGAATTAATTTGCAAACTGGATACAATTAACTTAGGCTTGAATAGAGACTGGGAGTGGATGAGTCATTACACGAAGTAAAACTATTTCCCCTTGTTTATTCCCGCCCCCCCCCCCCCCACCGTTCCTCAGACATTCTTGTCAACTGCTGGAAATGGCCCACCTTGATTATCACTACAAAAGGTCCCCCCCCCAGCTCTCCTGCTGGCAATAGCTCACCTTAAGTGTTCACTCTCATTACAGTGTGTATGGTAACACCCATTGTTTCATATTCTCTATGTATATAAATCTCCCCACTGTATTTTCCACTGAATGCAGCTGATGAAGTGAGCTCTCACGCTCAAATAAATTTGCTCGTCTCTAAGGTGCCACAAGTACTCCTTTTCTCATGTTCTTGTAAGCGTGAATCCAGTTTCACCTTCCCCATCCCACCCCAACAGCCTGTTCAGAGGCTCTGTAACATCCCAGGGAGCTGGAGGCTTTTCTGTGCAGCTGCTGCACACCCAAACATCTCCCATAGGGGGCATAAGTGGTGCCAAGGAGTCTACGAGGGCCCTCCACACCAGGGTGAGATTCACCCCAGAGAATCGCAAGTGCCATAATCAGCATAAGGAACGAAGCATAGTGGATGAACATGATTATGTTTTATGTGATGAGTTACAGTATTAGAGCAGGAGGGGATGTAATTGATGTGATATCTTTAGACAGTAGTGACACAATTGATAAGTGACTCAAAATCTTGGCAGAATTATTTCACGTTGACTTGGATCTGGATGCTGCCATATATGGGCATGAAAAATGGCTGAGGATTGCAGACAAAGGGTAATGAGGCAATGCAGCATATTGGGTTGGCAAGGTGGCAAATAGCGTGCTGCTGGGATCAGTTGTAGACAAGGTGGGTTTTTTGTTGTTGTTGTTTTTGGTTAAAATCCTTGTTAATTATCTTGATGAGATAAACACCATGGTAAACAAATGTTTAGATGACAATAAAGAGGTGCCTGTGAGGGCAGAGAACTAATGGAAAGGGACCTAAAGACAGATAGAAAATGGGATTTTGTCAAAGACGTGCTAGGCCATTGTCAAAGACTACGTGCTAGGCTACTGTACAAGCAAGGCACACACAACCTGTGTGTATTCCTGTAGCTGCCTGACCTTCCTCCGCATAGCAGCCATCTGCAAGGGAGGAACTTCCTTTTCTAAGAAGCCTTTTTAATCTGAGTAAGCTAAAACCCTAAGCTAAAACCTTGGTCCATGCCTTAACTGCAGCTCATCTTAACAACTGAAAACTCCCCTCTGGTCTCCATGCATCTTAGCCCTCTCCTTCCAATCAGCCCAAAGGGCTGTCACTTAGACCATCTTCCTTTTATGCCCTCTACCCAGAAATCCCTTCACTGGATCAACTGCCTTCTGATCTTCCAAATTCTGTAGAATTCCACCCCACGTTACGTGATACCTCTGCTGTCACTTAATACTTCATCTTTGTACCCCTTCTGCAGCCTCTGCTAAATGCACGCTTTGGCCTTGACTCTCATCTCATTCTTGATGTATACCAGTGTGCATAACTCCAGTGAAATCAATGGAGTCACACTGGTGTGAAACCAGTGCAAGGGAGATCAGAATCAGGCTCCTGCCTACTTGGACAGTGTTGTACTTTTTGTCCAGCTGCCTCTACGCTTGGAACAGGCTGACACTCCGTACAAGCCAAGCTCTCTCCCTCACCTCCTTCAAACCCCTCTGACCTCACTGCGTCTGTATACCTAATTGCCCTTTAACTGTTATCCTGGGTATTGTGTTTGCCTGAGTAAAACTGCAGGCCCTTTAGGGTGAGGATGCTGCCTTCTCTTTGTTTGGCACAGAGCAGTGTATGTTCATGGTGCTGTTTAAAAATATTTACTCTACTGAATGTACTTTAAACGTACCACCATTAGAAAAGTTTGCCAACATGCAGCTTTCAGGATAAAGAATACACACTATTGGCTGACTCTTGGCCAGGACTTCATATATGGAGAGAGAGAGAGAGAGAGAGTGTCAGTCAATGGGAACGAGCTACCCAGAAACCTGTAATGCTGACAAAAACCAAAGGGCAGCAAATTGTGTGTCAGCTTGTAGTACAATGTTGTAGCAAAAGAGCCAATATGATTTTGTGGGCTGCATAAACAGATGGGTCATGGGCCTGCTCTTAGAAAAGGGGCTGAAAAATGCTGAGCTCCAATATTTTCAATGGGTGTTGAGGACATGCCACTCCTTGAAGGATTGAGCCTTGTGCTCACTAAAGGAGGTGATAGTATCTTATGTACTACTGAGACTACACTTTGAATACCAACTACAGTGCTAGTTACTGGCTTTTTGGTACCAGAATGATATTAGTATCTGGGGAGGAATATCCGGATGCAATAATAATCCCTAGTTTTTATATAGCATTTTCATCAGTAGATCTCATGATGATAAGATTGATTTATGAGGAAAGATTAGGAAATCCGAATTGTCAAATTCAACATTGGTGCAACATTATTGACTTCAGTGGAGTTCTGTGGAATTTATTGTGTCCAGTTTTGGTCACCAATGTATAGAAAGGATGTGGAGAAACTGGAAAGAATCCAAAGGTGAGCAACAAAGAGGTGGAAGGAACTGGGTATGTTTAGTTTGGAAAAGAGGAGATTGAGGGTGGACGTAATAGTGGTCTTCAAATATTTGAAAAAGATGGAGAAAAGTTTTTCTCTCTTGCCACAGAGGGCAGGACAAGAGGCAATGGGTTCAAACGACAGCAGAGCAGATTTAGATTAAATCTCAGGAAAAACTTCCTCACTGTAAGAACAGCAGGACAATGGAACAGACTGCCTAGGGAGGTCGCGGAAGCGTCTTCACTGGAGATTTTCAAAAGGAGGCTGGATAGCTACCACTCTTGGGTGGTTTAGACACAACAAATCCTGCATCTTGGCAGGGGGTTAGACTAGATGACCCTTTCGGTCTCTTCTAACCCTGTGATTCTATGCCTGCCTGCACCAGGGAGATATGTGGCCACAGTGTATGAACTGAACCCGTTCTTTTCATAATTGGGTCAAATTCACTGAAATCACTGTTACAGAAGGGATGAATTTGCCTTCTGTGTTTTATTGTGCTTCTCAATAGCACACACATATGTTAACTATTAAAGCAAAAATAGAAAAAAAATACATATAGGTACAGTAAATGCTCATGTATTGGATTTGAATCAAGTAAAATACAATTGAGTTTTAAAAACATGTATTTTAAATTATATTATTTAAATCTATTTAACAAAACAGTAGTAGAGAATATAGTCTAGTGGTTGGTGCAAGTAAATGGGAAATGGGACTCCTAACCATTTTGTGCCTTAGTTTACCCAAATGGGGATAATTACCTTCCTGTGGAATTATGGTGCTTAATTAGTATGTGTAAATTCTTTGAGATAAAGGTGCTATTGAAGTGCAAAATGTTATTATTAAAAACCCCAGCTTGATGGTTGTGAAGGATGACTTATTGGAGGTGTCTTTATAGTGTTGGTAGAATCCCGTGGTTTACCCTTCTCTTCCATTATGGTCTGCCCAGAATTGTCTATTCAGAATTAGTCACACTCGTCTTTGGTGGCAAATTATCTTTGGGAGCACTTGCCCTCCTGCACCTTAACAAGCAGTTAAGCTAGAGCAGGAAATGGAGGAGAGAGAAATTAAAGAATGCATCTTCCAGCACACGAATTAAAATCTTTACAAGTAAATACCGGATAGAAAGTCTCAGAATAGAATGAATTATGTATTTGAACACTTAAGATTTTCTTGCTTTTATTACAGCATGGGGTCTGAACTCTGTTTTCTTCTCTGCACTTTATTACATGGTTAGAAGTCCCACAGTATGAAACTTGTCGTTTGAATTTTGAAGCACCTATATTGTCGTGCTTTTTATTTTCATATTTGTCACCGACAGTGCCGACAGCTAAAAAGTGCTGGCTCCCCATGGTGTGATGTGCGGGATTTTCAATAGAGCTACACAATTGCATTTACTAAGTGCTTGCGGGGCTCACAGTGCCAAAGCCCGCAAATTGCCCCATTCATTCCACTGTGCAGCAGCCAGCCCTGCACTGAGGTGAACTGCATTGAAAAAGGGATTTACCTGCAGGAGGGACATTTGCCTAAATGGCTGATTTCTTTTTAAAGTCCTAAGCCATTGTCTTTAGCCATTTCTACCACACAATTCTATACTTGCAACTTTTAAGAGCTGGTGGGAACTTCGGTGTTGTTTACAGTTTATTTTATTTATTACGTGTGATTTAAAAAAAAAATCTGTGTTTTTCCATCCCCAAAATTTACTGGCCAAAGAATTCATGGAAATAAATGGCTCTAATGACAGTACGGAATCTACATATGTTACTCTTTTCTCTTCTTCCCTCTATATTCTTTTATTTTTCCAATTCTCATACTTCTGTCTTAATGTATGGCAAACCTTTCTTGTTGTTTGTGATCTACCTTCAGATCAATACTATTGTGTAAATCATTTGATGTGCACAGCAATGTTACGCACTGTGACAGTTACGCTTTGGGTATCAGGGGAGTCATTTGTATCCCCTGCCTACCTCCTTTGTCTTATTCACATGTCAATTAAAAAAAAGATGATTCCGACAAAAAGGTCCATGATGATAATTGTCAGAAAAAGACTTGGCTGAGGACTGGTTTAATGACAGCTGAACGAATCATTGGGAAATGCTACTTTTGTGGAGTCTAAGTCGTACTTAATGAGCCAAATTCATCCCACGGGGAGCTCCATAGGCTTTAGTGGAGTTACTCCAGGAATGAATTTGGCCCACCCTGCACATCATTGCAGAAAAGACAAATGATTCTTTTCAGAGTAACAGCCGTTTTAGTCTGTATTCGCAAAAAGAAAAGGAGTACTTGTGGCACCTTAGAGAATAACCAATTTATTTGAGCATAAGCTTTCGTGAGCTACAGCCCACTTCATGGCTGCATTGCGGAGCTTTGGTGTCCTTTATCAGTGTATGTAAGAGGCATCAACTCTTCCTGCATAGACTTGGTCTGCCTTTACTTTTGCATTCTGCAGTTACACGAGAGGGGAATTCTCCAACCATTTTATATATTTTGTTTCTGTCATTGAAGGAAATGAATTCTATGAAACAGATGGAAGTATAGGCCCAGATCATCTTCTACAAAGGAAAATGCCAGTCCAGGGGACTGAACAGGCAGGGATGCTCCATTCACAGAGTTTCCTTTGTATTTTTCCATCTGGGATTAGAGCAAGGGGTTCTTCTCCAAAACCTGCACATTTTGGAGATCTGTCAGGTGGCCTGTGTCTCTCCACTTCCTCCAAAGTGGCCTTTGATTAAGAGGAACTCAGCACCTGCAGCTCTTATGGACTTCAAATAGACTTGTGGGTGCTTAGCACTTCTAACAAAATCAGACACTAAGGCACCCAAAATCATCTTGGGCACCCAGAATTATTGGACATTTGAAAATTTACGCCTAAGTGACTTTCCCATGTCAATATCAGAGGCTGAGCCAGGATCAGAAATCAGGAATTCCTGCTTCCTGATGCTTAATCCACTAACTCTCACTTCCTGGACTTGGAAAGGTTGGTTGAAACCTTTCAACAAAATACAATTCCTACTCAATGTCATCTGCATTGCCGAAAGACAACTGCGAAAGACATCTCTGGAGAAGACTTCCATTACCAGGGCTATGCAGAAGAATAATGAGAAACTTGCATCTGGTTTGAAAGACATTAATGAGACTCTCTTGCATTCAAAATATTTGTTCAAACACCCTTATGGGCAAAGTAACACAAACTTGAGCAAAGCACTGTCAATGGGGAGCTCAGAGTGAATGAGATGCACCAGTAGGGCTCAAATAAGGAGCAAAATGTCATTTCTGAGCATGAAACTGGGCAGGAAGCAGAGTCAGTTTTTCAGGCCCAATTTGCAGCTATTACGAGGTAGGTACAGGTATGTGTGTGAGCATTACTCTTAATATTTATTTTCCATATTCTTGCTTCTTTCCCTGTTGTTCTTTTGGGGCATTGTACAATGCAGGGATGTTCTTGGTTCATCACATAGTTTGGCATCTCCTCTTGTTTTCATTTTCAATAGAAGAAATATTTTACACCCTTTTAAATGTACTAAGAAAACCTGTAGACATTTTCACCTAATTTTGCCCCCCCAACCCCCCCCAGCACAAACCAAAACAAAAATTCCCAACATATTTCAGACTTAGTTTTGAGCAGACTAGATGTACAGTATCATTCTCCAGCCTAAGGCCCTGATCCTGCAAGGTGTTACTCATAGGCTTTGCTTTATGCATGTGAGTAATTCCACCGAAGTCAACAGAACCAGTCGTATTCTTAGAATTGGAAGCATGCACGTGTTTGCAGCATCAGGATGAGAGATGCAATTTGCTGCCATTCCAGGGAGAGTGGGGGGAGGGGGGCGAAGAAAAGGAGAGAGTGCCCAGAAAGCAGATGAATTCAGTATCTTAAAAATAGGAGCTACCTGCAGAATGAAAGCATCAGACATTCTTTCTGCAAGGCTAATACACAGAAGAGTTTAGTTTGGGCTTATAGTTTGTGCCCTATCTTAGTTCTACACACCTTAGAAAAAGGTTGTCCAGTACTTTATGATACATTGGACTTGAATTTGCTGAAGAGAGTAGGTGCCCTCTTCTATCATCAAGGCTCGCTTCCCCTGCGGAGATGGATGTGTTAAAACCGAGTCTCCGCTTTCCCTCTTCCTACCCACCCGCCCTAGCTGTAAAGATCACAACAAATGTGGCCAGTGTGAACTCGCAAGTCCTTCTCCTCCTTTCCCAGACAATCAGCCCAGATACTCTGAACAAAAGGAGATCACTAATTCTTAACCGAGGGCCTGTGCTCTTGGCAGACTCTCAACAGAAACATTGGCAAACCACAAACCCCGTCACACATGAAGATACCGTCGTTGGGGGGAAGTTGGAAAGGAGTAAACACGGCACTGGAAATGAAACACATCCAGCAAGCACAGCCACAGGCACCCTGCCCCAAATGTCTCTCAGCTGCCACCACTAAACAGGGCCCCTTTCTTTTGGGAGTGGTCCATGCACTCCGACAGCAACCCAGGAAATCAGGCAGCTGGTCTTGGAGAGCTACAGAGCTGTTTCACCTCATTGTGTCTCAGCCAGTGAGTAGCACCATATGTGCGGGTGCTGCAGTGCCTAAACCTGCAGGAGGTAAGTGAAGAACCGAGTGGCAGCCTTTAAATGCTGAACTGGCCTCGTTTTTGTTTGCTTTAGTCAGAATTCTACCATGGAACTTGATTGAAACAAAAGATGTGCTGGGTATTTTAAGCCATCATTTCCATGACAGTCACCACCAGGGGAAAAACTCACCATGGACTCCCCAAGCATTCCTTATTCAGGTGAAATGTGACAATGCAGATGTTGCCTCTCTCGCTCTCGGTTTCACTCATCATCCTTTTTCCATCCATCATCTGTTAGACTCCATTTCCTGGCTCTGCCAGCAGAAAGACAGGAGGCAATACGTGTGGTTTCATTAGGCCGCAACTTTATTCACTTCAAATATCTGGGAGTACCCAGCAATACATTGCACAGGGCAGGTCTTCATCATTTGCTTCATAATTTCCACATAATCCCCAACCTGGTCCCAGCCATCCCCACATATGACGTAAAAGAGGGCTACAAAAGGAAGGGATTGGCTCCCCACTGTACCAGACATAGGAGCCCCAACCCCCCCCTTAGCTCCCTTAAGAACTCTCTTTCCTTTATATCCTTTTCCAGTTCATTTTATCTGGTAACTGTAGCTCTTCCATACCAAGTACTCGCACTGGACATCTGCCACAAGTTCTGCATACTAAGCTGCAATTTTATAACTTAACCCCTCCTCCCCTAAACCCTGCCCTGCCCCACCAAGTCCCAAACCCACTGTGGGGAAGGTGAAAAACTCTACCCTGCCTCAGCTGATCTTGTGGTGTAGGAAAAATTAATTTCCAGCCTCCAGGGAAAAAGAGGGACTAGTGTAATGCCCACACTGGTCCTGAGGTAACCCAGTCCTTTTGCAACCTTCATGGGTGGGTGGGTGAGTGCTGCCAGCCTGAGTCAGGTGACAGAGAGCTTCTCTAGGGCTGCATGGGGTATAATTGCCCCCCGCCCCTCCCCACACACATACCCATTCTCCAGGCCAGCAGGAAGTGCAGTGCCCTCCCCTTGACATTGAGCTGTGGTGAGCACAGTACGTTCTGCAGTAAATGTAGCCCACGTCTTCAACTTCTGAATGTTTTTAGCACTCGGCATGAAATGCAGGAGAGAACATCTGATTAACCCTTAGACCACAAGACACCTCGTATGGAATGGGGTTCACTGTATCCTTCATTTGAGTGACTGTTTCTGCAGCATTAGTAAGGCAAAGTGTTCCTGCTACCTGGTACAAATGGAAGCTATTTACCATTTCCCTTAGTCTCATTACAATAGCAGTAGCTTTACAGTATGGTCACTTGCACACTTCCCTTAGCCCTCTTATGTGGCAAGGTTATATTAAGATCTTTTGTGAATAAGTCAGAAAACGTATAGTGGAAGCTATATCTTTTGCAAACAACATACATATTTAATAGCTTTCATGCCCAGAAGCCAGTTTCTTGAGGATACTGTCCATAAATTGCAAATGAAAGAAGAAGATGCACTTCTTTATTACATTACTTCCAACCAGGAAAAAAAATGCTGTCTCTAATTTAAAGGCCCAATGAAAAAAATCAAACACCTAGAGTATGTTGCTCAGACACGCCAAGTTTTGAAGGCTTTCCTGCTTGAGTATTTATTTGTGATGTAAGAATGATGCTGGGGACTCAGGTACCTCTTCAGCTCACATAAGGTTTAAGAGATAGGGCAGCATAATTGGTGAATTTCAAGGTGAGCTTAAGTACAGTGGTTGTACTTAAAGTTTCTTCCAGTTTGAGTTACATTACCGTAGCAGTATTTTCCTCAGAGAGCATAAGAGATGTCCCTGGAAGTGTTAGAGCCCTAGTCCATATTTTTTCATATATTATTTGTTAAGTGTGAAGGGTGTGCTCTGTGCTGCACAAGACTCTAAATACCAATACGCGTTCTGGGGCACCAGGAGCAACAACATTTAGCAAGTGAATTCTTGCATTTTCCCAGCTACTCGGCAAATGTATTTGCATCTTTTCCCCCCTTTTTAAGTCACTTTTAATGCAGAATCTCATTATTGAACATCCAGTGCGTGTAAATTAGAGCTGGGCATCACTAGTGAAAATCTTTGCACAAAATTTCATCACTAGCTGGCTTCATGCAGTCTGTAGGTGTTGCCAATGGCTGGACAGTATCGGCATATATGTATGTTTTCATTTTCTGAATATCTGTATCCAAAGGAGATTTTCCACAATGCCTATGTAAGGTGATATTACTGGGTTTCGATGCTGGAAGGCCCCCCGAAAGGGAGGGTGATTGAAAGGTTCAAGTCTGGCCTTGCCTTAGGAATGTGGGATTGGAGACAATACACTATTGGACTGATGGATTAGGGTGCTGGAGGAAAGAACAAGCAGATGAACTGCTCTGTATCAGAGAATAGCTGCCTGGAAAGGGGGACAGATGGTTTGGAGAACAGAAGGAGGGAGAGCAAGCAGCAGGGCAGCCTGCCATAAACTTGGAGAGACAGAGAGAGAAACAAAGCTAACGGGGCTGATGTGGTCATTGACATGTAACATTACCATGAATGTCCCTGAGCTTTTGTATTTTACACACTCATGGCCTACATTACTGTTGTTATTTATTGGTTGTGTTATAGTAGTGCCTTGGGGCCTGTAGCGAGGCGATGACTGGTGGTCGTCTGGGAATTAGCTCTTTTCCAGCTTACGGAGCGCCCTCTGCAGGCCAACGTCTCGCTTGCCGCTGGCCCCATGTTCCTCCCAGACCCCGGTTCCCTTTGCCCTGGGGTTCTGCACACCGCAGTACCCCCACACTCTGGGTCTCCCCTCCCAGGGGACCCCCCCAACCCTCTAAACCCACCTTGCCTCAGTGGCTACTGCCAGTCATCATCTGGCCCCCGCGCACTGGGAGACTGCAGTCTTTAAACCACTCGTCACTGGCAAGGGGGGTTTGGACCTGCTGCCTTTCCCTGCCGTGCAGTGCCTCTCTTTAGGCCTTGCCAGGCTGGAGCTCTCCAGATCCTCTTGCCTTTCCCCAGCACTTCTCAACCTCTGGTATCCTGCTCCCAGGCGGCTAGATCCTCCTTTCTCCACCACTAGAGAAAGACTCCTCTAGCTTCTGGCCCACAGCCTCTTATAAGGGTCAGCTGGGCCCTGATTGAGCTGGTCACAGATGTGGCTGCTTCCCCACTCAGCTTTTCCCAGCCACAGCCCTCTCCAGGGCTGCTTTTAACCCGTTCTGCGGGAGTGGGGCCACGCCACTACAGGACCTAATCAGGGACCGGCACCCCATTGTGCTAGGCACTGTACAAACATAAAACAAACAGCTGGTCCCTGCACTACAGAGCTTAGTACAATTTCTGGCAGTGGCATCTACACAAGGTATTGTAAACACTTTGCCGCCTTTTCTCTCTTTTTTTAAACAGCATCTTGCTGAAACACAGCTCTGATTGGCTAATACTGAGGTGCTGACTATACATCTTGGGAAACTAGAAAGGCTCTCGCCCTGAGAAGGAAGAACAAATGAATGACGCTTAACTGCTCAGCAGTGCCAGGGGCTCTCAAAGAGGTGCATGGGGTTGTGTGTGAAGTGCTCAGTGTATGTGTCTGGGGGGAATGCCCCGTTACAGTAGTTAATGCACACAAGACAGTTTCTTGAGGGTATTATTTAAAACAGTATTTCCAAACAGGGAAAAATATGCTTTTCCTAACTTGGAGACTGAACCAAAGGCCACTGAGGTCAATGGAAAATGCCCAGGCCTTGATTCAGCAAAGCACTTATGCACATGCTCACATCCCATTGAAGCCAATGGAATTTAAGCATGTGTTTAAATTTAAGCATGTGCTTGAGTGCTTTGCTGAATCAGAGCCAATCTGACTACAGTGGGACCAGGCCCATAAAACCAAAAGGAAAAATAAATTTCTCTCCAGAAAATTAAGAAAAAATAATGGTTTAATAAACATAAAGGAGTTCATTAATAAATTGACTTTCCTAATCTAATCTAATCTAATCTAATCTAATCTGTGTTTACTAAGTAATACCATAGTAACAAAACATAGATGAAATTCACATGCAATGCTTTCCCAAACATATCCAGCTATACTTTCTTCACACGTATCAAATAAAAACTGTCCATGTAGTGAATGTCATAATAAAAAAATCATTTTGATTCCGTACTGAGATGCTCTCAAGCGATTAAATTACAGTTCATTAATAGGGCAATGAAGATTCATACTTTGTTAAGAATCCTGTAGGTGATGTGGTAATTATCTTATCTTACTCTTGGAGTGCTTGATTATTTTTTCCTTTGGATGCTTTCTACAGATAGGCATATGCTAGCTCTCTCTCTCATTTTATCTATTAAACTTTAGAAAAGTAACAATAATTCCTTTATAAATAGACCATAGGTCAGGCTGTGGCTGATACTATAAGAAGAGGATCTTGCAGTTAGGAGGACAACAACAATTAAATGAAAGATAAGCGAAACTAAAGAGCACACAGAATTGCAAGAAAGGAGAGTTTGGGGAGAAAAGAAAAGGTGCAGAGGGGAAAAAAAATCAGGAGGAGGAGATATTCATGTTCTGCTCAATTTAACTCCGAGGACCTTGTCTAAATTAAGGATTTTGGCACCCGGGTAGGCACCCCAATGTAAATCTGCAGCATGAAATCGTGCCTCATTGAAGTCAATGATAAAACTCCCATTTGCTCCAACAGAGTGATAAACTTAGAAGTGGAGGATAAGAGAAGGGCTGGAAGACCCAAAACTAACTGGATGGATGTAACACAAAAGGATTTGATTAGCCATGGAGTTTCCAAGGAACTGTTTCAAGACAGACTGGAATGTAGGAGGACTCAAAGAGCCAACCTGGGATGCGATTGGGCTAAGGCTAGAAGAAGAAGATAAGCTATCAGTGAAACGTATGAAATATTTAATGTTAAGAATTAGTCTACAGACAAAGATCTGAAGTTGTGGTCAGTCAAAACACAAATACTGTATGTAAAAGGTGATTGTACAGACACTGTAAAAATTATGTCCTGCAACATAGTTTAATAACTTATGCTTAGTTCAGAGTATTTGACTCTTCTTTTGACATGGAGGTATGCAGACACGGAAAATGTAAAATCATTCAATATATAAATGGTAATCTGTTAAATTGTTACAAATGTATTGGCTTCATTGAACTAAATTTACCAGTAATCTGTGTGTCAATGTTTACCTCGACTTTTATATACAAAAGAGCAATAAAGTTTTTCTTTATACTCTCATAGCTTGTATCTCAGTGTCCCTGATACCACTCAGGTACTTTGAAGGGTGGTTAGTCTAACGTGTTTTGTGAATTCTCTGATACGACCTCATCTTTATAGACCATCTTGCCAATGACGCTCCCACTTACCGGTACATCTTCCACATTAACTGGGATCTGAACAGAATCCTCCTGATCCATATCAGCAGCCACCAGTTTGAAGAGTAAATTAATGTTACATGGACAAGTAGATAAAACTTTACATGGGGCTTTCAGAGAGCATCTCCATTCAGTTTGACATGTTATAGATTCAGACAACCTTCCAGGCCAATATATCTCCTTTTGGCCACAGGCAAAAATGGGAACAAGACTCAGAAATTAAATTTTCCAGCAACTGAAACCCCTCTGTCTGCACCTGCATAGCCAGTGATGACAGCCAGATGCAGTAACAGAGGAAACAGCATCTACCAACAAAGGGTCTGATAGGTGCTAAGAACTATTGTCAACGGGAATGGCAGGGGTTTGGAACCTCACAGGATCAAGCCCATAGAGAGAAATCATCACAGTAACTGTGAAAGCTGAACACTCTCCTTCCATTTCCTAGCACCAGATTTCATTTTCATATTCAGAGAAGGCTGAAATTCATAATTACTTATTAAAACAGCCCCAGCCATTTTGCCTACATCATCTTTGGCTCATAAGCAAAGCAGTAACTGAGGTGGCAGCATCGCTGGTCATTGTGTGTGCTTTCATTAAGTTCTTTTTTTTTTTTATAGACGCTGGTTATGGCAAATATTCCACAAAACAAGTTGCTAGACTATAATTTACATTAAATGTCACTGGACATTTGTAGGTATGATCACACTGCGGTGGAGTGAAAGATTCTTAAAGAAAAACAAAAGTCAGCATTTGCAATCAGATCACTTGAGTTCTGACATTACTAAAGTATTGCAAGGCACAGCGGAGACTGAAGAAGAGAGCTATAACTCAATTTTTTCCAGCCTCAAGCGCTAAGTGCAGCCTAGTCTGGCCTTCCTTTCTTTTCTAACTTGTGCTGCCCATCCACAAGACTCAGATGGCAGAAGAGGCAAAAGGAAATTGCCCACTCTTCACATCTCTAACTCTTGATGACCTAAGCCAGAGAGATGGTTTACATCTTGACCCACTGCGATTGGGGGCAGGAGGAGAGCAACAAGAATGTGCTGAGCGAGCTCTCAGACACATTCAGGTGACCTATCCAACTGTGGCGTGTTTTGCAACTCATCCAAAATGATTCATTCAGAATAGGAAGTCATGTGGGTTGGTGGATAACACTGAACAACAAGTTGGCACAGCTTCTATTTCAAGGAGAAGTAGCAGGTGTTACACCTACCTCCTTGTCAATCTGCATGGAACAAAGTCAATTCCTGACCCCTAGGGTTGGGGTTACCTACCCTTTTAACCTAGTGGAAAAGTAAACTAGCATGCGGACACAAACACATTCTTCATCTTCTGGGAGAGAGTTAGTCTCTCATAGTTCCCTTTTCCTCAGGGTAACGTGGCTGGGCATGCGGTGGTCAGTTAAGCAATTTTCCCATCCCACTGCCATGAGCGTCTTTGAACCACACTCTCTGATATGACATTGAATACAGTTTGACCTTGGCTAAACTTTTAGCTAAACCCTGTTCAGCACCGGATCAACCGCACCAGTAATTTTTGTAGCACAGCTAAGGCGTTAGAGAGCTGTGCTCTGGGATTTGGGACTGGTTGGAAGCAGGAGCCAGATTCTTTGCACCATCGGAAGGGTGACGAAGTTACTAGCTGAAAAAGGCTTCTTTTAGATTAGCTCAAATGTTGCCTGTACAAAGCCACCCCTTATTTAGTTAATTTAGTAACGAGGCTGAAGGCAGCCTTTTTTTGATCTCCTAGGTTAAACCCCTAACTATAAGAAGTTTTCGTTTAAAGTGGTAGTAGGTATGGTACATTTAATGGATGGTATTTTCTAAAAGCATGTAATGGAGTTAGGCATACAACTGCGTTGAAATTCTATGTCCCGAAGGCACTTTAGAAAATCCCATATTAAAATTTTGCCTGCAAGTTGGCTGTGGGTACAGTATGTGGTTAGAAATGCATTATTACATTATTTGTGGTATTATTAATTGCTGCAGTTCTTATTTAATTCTTCAGTGCTAAAACCAATTTAGTGGCTTACATAGAAAAAATGTTTAAAAGGTTAAAAATTGAAGCTGTGTTTTTGGAACTGGATGTATTTAGAACAGTGCTTAGGTTTCAAAGGTAGCAAGAGAAAATTTATTTAAATAAGAACAGACGCATTTTCACTGAAATGAAGAAAAATTATAACTAGTTTTCTTTTTAAAATTGAGTTTTGTAATTTTTTTAATAAAAACAAAATTTTGAGC